TCTAACAAAATCTAATGTTTCAGACCTATTTTATTCAAAGGCTTACTCAAAATTCGCCAAATACAATAACTTTCTTATAATACGTCTCCCTGACAAACTAATGATGCAGAAGTGTTTGTTTTGAGGTCCTCTACCATCGTGCATTCAAACCCCCAATGTGTGCAAACATCACCAAAAAATTGTTGTACTGTGAATAAGAGTGTCTTATGTATTGGATGGAATCTATACTGGTCTTATCCAATTTGTTGTTATTCAAAACAATTTTGATGAATATTTGCATACCTTTTCCTTAGAGTAAGGTTTCAAGCGGTGAGCAATTCTTGATATACGGTAATTGTTTTTTGCAAACTTGTACAGTTTGACAATATCAACAATTTTTGCGCAGACACTAATTCGATATTTCTTGTCATTAAAATGAAAATTGACAAAAATCACAAGCGAAACATACTCCACTTTTTCAAAAAAAAACTCCCAATCTCACCTACGGATTATGTTATCTAAATGTTTCAATATTTAAATTAACCCATTTTCTACCGAGGTGCAAAGTGGGTTCGAAATGAGTAACCAATAGTCTATCTAGCATAATTTTCCCCTGGAAACTCCGAAAAAACTGTCATATGAAAAATTTTTGTTTGCAGTTTTTCCGGAAAGCCATATTTTTGTAGGCTCACAAACTGATCAATCAAAAACCGTTATGCTTTAGTTAAAAATATTAACTATAAGTCTATTTAGAGTTATTTTGGCATGAAAAAATGAAAAAAATGTCAGATGGAATATTCGTCTTGTAGTTTTCCAGAAATTCCCCGGAAAATTTTTGTTCGATTTTTCGAACATTGGTCATTAGCCCGGGATTCTTTATTATCTCCAAATCCACCCTGGGCTTCCCTAAGTACCTCCTGAACATAGGCCCAGAGGACTTACACATTTTGAAAAATAATGTTCAACACTTGCTTTTTGAGTATATGTCTGTTATTCTCTCTCTAGGTCGAGATATAAATAGGGATGGTCTTTGTTCGAAAAATCGAACGCTGGTAGAAAATGGGTTAAATTCTCGATGAATTTTGCACAATGGTACCTAAATTGGAATTTTAAAGTAGCATTCTTACATAAATAAGAATGAAATGCTTACAATTTGATAATTTTTTTTAGAATACACATTGATTTACTTTTTATTATAATTAAGATCCCGTAATATTTTTTTTCATTTCCGTCGTATTTTAAACTGTGTTGCATACAAGAAGTTTCTACTACTATTTCATGATTCCAATTGGATTTTTAGTTGTCTAAAAGTGCGTATTCATGTGCAGTTTGGTTGCCAAAGAAATTTACCGTATACAGTATAGTAAACTATTCGAGATCCGACACTTGTTTTCCAAATATTTCCTTCATCCAAGTATTATTGATATCATTATCAATCGTGTAATCAATTCAATCATGTTGAAAAATTTACAATAAAAGATGCAAAAACTTCTAATCATTTAGAAGTGATGAAAATCTATCCTAAAAATTGTAAAAAAAATACTGCAATCCACAAAATTGATATATGATTGGCTTCGCACGACCAAACGCTTTTTTTTCTGCTCAAATCAGTGAAGAGATAATTTGTTGCACGTGCACTTTTTCAAATGTGTACTTTGAACGGAGAAAAAAATGAACAAAATGTTATGCCCATAATTATGTCGATATTGATGATAATTGCGGTTCAAATCATGCGATTTATATGGCACTTCCGTTTTATCGTTATACACACGTTACCGTTTATCGTACATTTACTATTCTCTCGAATCTCACCCTCTCTCTGTCGTTTCTGTGCTAACATTTTCTTCCTGTCGGCTATTGTATGTCAACTCGCTTTGCTGTGGTGTCTTTTTGACTTTTCCGTCCACTTGCCTGTTTATCATATCGAACCAAATTAATTTATAATTTGTTCATACTATAGTTTGTTACGACTGTATGCTTCAAGTGGGCAATACCGATTCGATGTGTTTTTTTTATCCCTCCTGTGTTGTTGTTTTGGCTTATTGTCGCGTCAAGTTTCATAAAACAAAGGACCCTTTTCTGTTAACTTTTCCTATGTGCAACAGTCTGAAATGCTCGGGGGAGAGTTGACGCTTGTTTCTTGATTACAGGCAATTGATTGTGAATAGAGTTTGTCTGTCGAATGTACGATATTTGCATATTGAACACATTTCGTCGATAGTTTCGATGATTGATTGCCAATCAATATTGACTCTTTAGAAGATTTTAAAGTAGCTCAGATGAAAATTTGTTACGCACGAATGGGTAGAACCGCTTTTTATTAGCTTCAATCAATTTTGGTCTAGCTCTCAAATCAATTTAATTCAACCAAATGAGGTGTCTGCTTGAAATGTTTTCAATCATCAACACTTGCTCCATAAAGAGATTGAAATTCAGTTTTCCTTACGTAGGAACATAATTTCAAATTTTCTCAAGTGAAAAATTCCATTCGTTCAGAAAGTTAAAAACTTGTGAGGTGTATTTTGCGCTTTTTCTACGCCGCCAATTGACGCTTTGATTATGTATATAACAATGTTAAATGTATGGTATTTATATATCCAATACACCTAGTCACATTGTACTCAAATAAACCATAAAAAACGTAGCAAATGAAAACAAGTAGTTTTATAACATTTTAATTGTTATGTCAATCTCGATCCATCGCATTCGATTTGTGTATCGAAAACGACGTATTGAGGTATGGAAACGATCGGTATCGTAGTTCACCCCAAAAGGCCGCAATCTTTCGTTCGACTCATAATGAATATTAACTTTGTGTTCGCGTGCCTCATTTGGCTGACCCCGTACGTACATCGACTCCATTTCATTGGCTTCGAAACGATTGTACGCTTATCAATTATTTACAACAGCCCTACTCACATTGTCCGAATCAAAACCACAACGTAATGTAAATATTGTCGATGGAAAAAGTAATAACATTTCATAAACAAAGTCGGAGACAAGTGACCATTTGACATATGACATATGTTCTAAATCTCACCATTGACACAATACACGCACCATAATTTGTTGATGTAAATAACATAAACTATTGCATATGTACTTGTAATTGGTATTGAATTGAAGTCGATACACGCTCGCGCCGCTCGATTTCTAATCGGAAAACGCGTTCTACAAAACTTTTGAATTAATGCCAGCCATTGAAGATGTATGTCGCGCACACGATTTGCGTCAGTTCATTGTTCGAACCGTTGTGTAGAAAAACGTTTCTGAAAGCAAATTATCAACAAGAATGACTTGGAAGATAAACGTCGATTTATTAAACGTTTATTATGTATATTTTAGTCTTCAATCTATTCTTACTCTTCATGTATGAACCATAAACCATACATGCATAATCAATCGGTTATGATTTCCAAAAGGCATTGCTTCTTACCATGAAAAATATTCACAAGAAATTCTCATTTATTTTCCGCCGCAAAGTTTTCACAGAAACCCATTTAGAGCGAGCGTCTTTAAAATAAAATCAGCGTCTATTATTGCTGTTAAATATATGCCCTACATTCCAAGAAAAATCAACCACTCACGTGACGATGTGAAAAGTTTTTCGCTGAAAACTTAACCCATTTAGCAAATATTGAACGATAAACCATTAATTTGGCTAAATAACCTTTTAAATAGTATAATTTTAGAATCCACTAGAAAAAATTAGATATTAAAAAGACACAAGCACATAAAATCTATGGCGATGTGCGGGCGAGTCAGGGTGCATTGTTATTGCTATTGAAGCTAAATGAATTTTTCGTTGAACAATTTAATAAAAATGTTGAAAATGGAAAATGAGTTCAGCGAATCCAATACGGAATCCGTATAATGGAAGTTTCCGAAGTAAACCTGCAACTGGTCATTAGGCCAATTAAAAGCAATTATAACTTTAGTTTGTGTAATTGCAAATTTCGATTGGACATTGTTTGCAGTGAACTAATTTTGATATCAACGCTAGACATTAGCTTCTAAACGATTTCGATATCAACACCATTATTAGCTGATATGCAATCAATGCGCGAATATTTGTCGAAAGGTGGCTATTAGGAGTTGAATACATAGTTGTGCGGGAAAATGGCAAGAATATAACGTTAATAGACAGCGTAAATGAAACATGTGCTATAATTTACACATAAAATTGTGTCGGCTTCATTTTTCGAATCTAGAAGGAACCGAACAATTGAAATCCTTTCATTTTTCAAACAGTCATTTTCTAATTCTCAATCTATGCTATTCACAAATTGTTCTGAAAATTTGAATACATTTCATGAAGTATGTAATTATTTTTTTTTCAAAAGTTTGATGATAGACAAAATGCAATTGAGTTGGTTTTGATTACGAGAAAAAAATTTGCATATACGAAATTAATTGTACATTGTCGCATTGAATGATTCAGCGATTTTTTTCTGTGAAATTGCAGCTGCTTTTTTATTATTCAGTTTTAAATCGGAAAAACATTAACTGTATTGACGCAATATATATGATTAATATTTCTTCATGAAGATGACACATTTTTGCTATCCAAAAATCGACGAAAAATGATGGGTTGAAAGAGAATTCAGAAGAATGTTGTAATAAATAGACCTAAGACTGACTAATATTATATTACTAATATGATGTATGAACTTCAAAAATGTAGATAATCCGTGGAGCAACGATGTCGGAGCAGAAATCGCGAGGAGGTGCCCTTCATGGCATCAGCAGTCATTGTAAAGTTTGTGGCGATCGTGCTTCTGGTAAACACTATGGTGAGAAAATAAATGATTGAAATTATAAAGCAATTTTATTGGCGTAAATCGCGTTGTTGTAAATGTAATGGCTTAAATCTTGTCTTGTCAATGAAAATATTGTAATGAGTAATCATCAAATGAATACTATCGTTTAGGTGTTCCATCTTGCGACGGTTGCCGTGGATTTTTTAAGCGTAGCATCCGACGGTCAGTACAAACACATCATTCAAAGCAATCAGTTTTCTGTTTATTTTTGAATAATATCAACGATTTCGTTTGGTTTGATTCAATTTCAGCAGAAATTTGGAGTATACTTGCAAAGAAGGGGGAAAATGTGTAGTGGATGTATCACGACGCAACCAATGCCAAGCCTGTCGTTTCGCAAAGTGTCTATCGGTAAACATGAGACCTGAAGGTAAAATGATATCTTCTTTACATTCAAAAGTAGTTTCGTTGCTTGATATTGAAACCCAGAAAAAAGGCAGAAAAATCTCACGGATTTGTTTCTTAACACATTTTTCGTGTCGATTTGGTGTTAAAACACTTTTGTGTCATGTTCATGGCACGAAACACTTCCGAAATCAAAAGTTCAATACAGTTGCCGTTTAAAATGTCGCTCCAAAGGAACATCAAAATATGTTGCGGGCATGAAAACTGGCAAATGCATTCATGTGGTTATGATACATTCACCAAACCACAGTAAAAGAGGGAAACTTTCGCCAGCTTTTCACTCTCGCTCTCTCACTCGAATTTTTTTTTTGTATCTGTCATCATCATCCCTAATTGATTGTATTTTGTCAATATTGACTGTGTCACCCTCCAATTATCACTTCGACAACTGAATCGAGAAGGAAGAAAAAAAAGAAGCGGCTCGAAACCAAGAGAGCAGGAAAATAAACTCGAAAAACGTTCAACAATGATTGTGCACTTCTGGAGCGCTGTTATTTACTCAGATGTTGAGGTTCACGTGCGTCATTCGATGATTTCGGCGCGGTTGTAGTGGCTTATGCGTCAGATATTTGGCTGGCACTTCATCTTTTTCTGTTTTGTTACAAATTCGGTGGTTGTTGTTGTAAACGCTGACACGAACACTTTGTGGTGACACAATAAATAGTTAAGAGCAAAAGTGTGTTCAACCGATTGAACGCTTCATGTTCAGAAGGTCTGTCTTTTTCCCCGCATCAATTCGACAAGTGCAAACATGCGCTTTTAATAGTTGTCGGGTGACATTTCATGTCCGTTTATACTTTTCATTTTCGGTGAGTGTCTCAAATTTACGATACGAGTCATTTACACTTGCCAAATACAACCACAATCCCATTGATGGCGTCTTCGGGTAACTTTATCTATTGAAAATGATGTTATTCATCGAGAAAATAGTTTAATTGTTGATTTATTTACATTAGAAAATTGAAGGGCGGAAAAATTTGTTTATTCAAGAATCGGCAAAATCGTGGATAATAATGTGTTTCGTTTATTTTTTTGAATAAATAAATCAGCGGTACAGCATGAACGATCTCCGAGATCCTGTCTACCCAACTCGCATTTAGCCGGTGGATTAGCAGCAGCAGCGGCTCATCGAGCATTTTCACCAACGCAACACATACCATTCACACATCATCAGTATCACAATAATGGATTATTGCTACCGATGCCGTTACACATGTCATCGGCGTTTACAACATTAGAATCTCAATTGCCACGACACTATCCCCAATTGAGTTCGTTTCAATCGAATGTCATCGACTCGTTGCATTTTGCCGCATCGAATGGTGGGCTATTCCCGCCGCCTCCACCACCACCGTTAATTGCGGCAAATTCAACATTACCAACAAAATCTGCTTTGGAATTGAATCCGTATTTGAGTCGTTACATCTCGCCGCATTCATCGAAAAGTGAATCTGAATTGAGTCCACGGCGACCGAGCCCATTTACATTGCCCTTTCTGTCGTTGCCCACCAAAATAACAAAAGATATAAATGGAAAGGAGGACGAGGTTAGTAGTTCTGAGGAGATTTTGACCATGCAACTGCCGGCGGCCACATCATCGGCGGCAGGAACACCAACCAGCCAGGAAATCGTTTTTGAATCGGCGGCCAAACTACTATTTCTAGCTGTGCGTTGGACAAAATCCATTCCATCGTTCAACCAACTCAATAACAACGACCAAAATCTTCTGCTCGAAGAGAGTTGGGCTGAATTATTCATCATAATGTCAGCACAGTATGGATTGCCCATTGAAAGTGAGTTTTTTCATATTTTCATTTCACTATGACCATCGCCATTGTATACGGTTTAAATTGGATTTGAATGATTTCGTTTAGATTTGGTGATTCCATCAAACGAAATGGCAATTCATAAATTATACAAAGTCATTCATCAGATTTTGCTGTTGCGACTGAACCACACCGAAGTATCATGCTTGAAAACGCTCATACTATTTCGACCGGGTGAGTGCATTGCATGTGCTTATAGTACTACGATTGCTACCCGTTCATGAAGATATAACACAGTGGGCGGAGCTTGTTTTCACGCTTGTCGCTCCCACTGTCGCGTATTTTCTGACTTTTTGATTGTGGAAAATATTTACTTTGTAACAAATACATTTTAACTATTAATATCGATTTCTAGACTGTGTTGGCTTAACGTCTACCTATGAAATTGCCATTCTTCAAGACGAATCGTTGAAATTGCTCGCCGAGTCGAGTGGCGGTGCAACTCGCATGGGCCATATTTTATTAACACTGCCATACATACGAGCAGCGGCCGATCGAAAGGTTATTCAGGTCGGTATCGCAAAATTGATGTAGTTTTTCCACCTCTTTTTCCACCGATTTTCCAGCCAACGCCGTCGGATATCCTATTAATGAATAAATTTTTGTCTCTTATCTCTTAGGAATTACTGTTCAAGAAAACGGTCGGCGAAGTGGCTATAGAGAAACTTTTAGGCGAATTGATACGGAATTAGTTTTTGATTACAATGTATTCCACGCTCACAATCATGCATCTTTCACCCTATAAAATTTGCAATTTTGTTCAAGTTATTTATTTCGTACTTTGTATAAACACATTTTAGCATTTTTAGTTCAGGTGATTATCGACACGATTTTATGTGAAATTACCGTTTCGACCAAATTTTCATTGAATCTTTAATAAATGTTCTTTTTACAATCGGTATCGCAAAATTGATGCATTTTCGTTTTAATACGATGATATCGGATAAAACCTGCTCGAAAAAATTGACCATCAAATATTCATCGCTGATTTTTCTCTGGGAAATTTCTTATTTATTCTAGGAATTACACTTTTATTCACAACTTGATATAGAAATTTCGATGAAAAATTCATCAGTACGCCTATTCAGATTGCTTTTGACACGATTTTCGATGCTTCAATGTTTCGATGGATGTTAAATAGAGATCTTTTTTACAATTTGGACAATTAAATAGTTTGGTGTTGCTGCTCTGTGGGCGGTCATTCATTTTTTGCTCAACCACTTCACCTTGTTTGCTTGAATCATCACTTTTGGGCTGCGACTTACATACTGAAAGAAAAATATTTTCATTTTTTTTTGCTTTTTACTCAATGTCTCGTCAATGCCATACCATTCATGTGCTGTAGTTTTTGAATTCCCGTCATATTAAAGCTAAATTCACAATTTGGACATTTCCACTCGGTCATTACAATCATATCAGCTATTTCAAGGCTCCAATCTGTCTCTCGAACACTAAATTAATGCACAAAAATAAAAAGTTTCATATTGAAATCCACATAAGCTTTAATGATGTGTGATCGATAGTGTGTGTGATACTTACGAAGCATATAAAATATTTTCCGTGATATAAATGCCTCCTTTCACATCGTTTGGTGTACATTCGAACTCTTCGGCAAATGGATTTGGATTGAATTGCGACAGCAGCTCATTGTAATCGTCCGTTGGTCCAACGTACAATGTCTGAAAATGAAGTTTATTTATTTCCCGAGTTAATACGATCTCCCTCTCTTATTTTTTACTATCTTATGTCCTAAATATCACACGTTAGGAAGACTTACCTTCAAATCAGCGGGCAGAAGTCGTTTGAGTGTATACAAAATTTCACTATTCATGTAAGCGGCTAAATTCGACCATAATTCATTTTCCAATATTTTTGTGTCTGCTTCGCGTTTGTCGCTTGCCAATTCCGATTCGACGCTTTTAGTCAACGATTCTAATTTGTTTGCTAGCAATTTATTCCATGTTCGACGCAAATTCGATGCTTTGTACAGCAGACTTTGGCCAGATTCTGGTTGGGGGAAGTCCAAACATAGCCATGAATCACAAATTATCCTGCAGATTTCATTGTTTGTTCTTATTTTTTTCTCTTAATCATGAAATTTGATTAAATTTGAAATTTTACTTGGAAAATGTGGAATTCGTATCAATGCTATGAGCAAACAGGAGAAGGGTTTGTGCAGCGGGCATCCGTAAAGTATTCATCAAATATGGTTTTACTGTTTCCAACAACGACCTATAAAGTAAATCAATCGATTTAAATAAGGCATTTCATCGAACAAAACCAGCAGAAAAAATAACTTACAAATAACAAAGTAACTGATGCTTTGAACTTAACGGTAGCTTAGTGCGATAAGTCCCAAACGGATCAGCAATCTCTGGTTGTGTTAGTTGCAAGATTTGTGGATTGTTGGCAAAATAGCTCATTGGATGGAGTGATGTAAACGGTTTTGCCACGGTGTGATAGAATTGTTGACCAGGAGCCTAGTGAAAAAATAAAAATTAGGAAAGATTTATAAAGAAAAATGAATTTACTACATAAAATTATAAAAATTGTTGTACTCAACCAACCTTCATATGATTGTATTCATCGGGAATGGCCACTTGTGGATACAAGCCACTGATTAAAATCAATTTCAAAGTTATCAAGTCTCGGTAGCTACACGCAATCGCACCACTTACTAGAGCCTAGTTATCGTGTGGAATATTGAAAATAATATTTAAAAAACAGTCGTACAAAACGAATTTTTTCAGAGAAATTTCATCCACAGCTTTTTACTCACATCAATTTTCGAAGCGTCGTTCGAAAGACGAAAGTCAACATCACGTATATCGACCGAACCATCATCCTCATCTTCATTTTCAATCGTATACTGATTCATTTTCAATTTACGTCTCTTTGGTGCCTCGATTTTGTGCTCACGTCGCATTTGTTTTAGCTGTCGAAGTTCACCTTTTCGTATGATTCTTTCACTGGCACTCATTTCGCCATCGTTTTCAATGCTCAATAATCCACTATCTTTCAGCAAATCTTCGAATTGTCTTCGCAATTTGGTGATCTCATAGAAACGTTGCTCTTCTAAACCTCGTCGCCGACACCACTGCTTTGTACTCTCATTTTTGCGATTAAATTGGCCTCTTTTCAGCTCAAGCCATTCCCTATAAGCGTTCAAAACTGTTATTGGATCACCATGATCCGATTCCAAGTCTTTACGGGCTGTCTGTAACGAAGTGTTTGAGTTTTATTTCTATTTTCAAATGAATTAAGGCAAACCATACTTCACATTCATGATCTCGATATGCTCGATTGGTGAATGGTGTTTGAACGCTCAGAGCAGCGGCAAGTGTGAGCACCGGTTGCACTTGTTGGAATACACAGCCCATCAAAAGCATTTTCCCAATTGACATTTCAACAGGTAGTCTCGACAGAGCCCGACCAAGTGCCGTGATTTTTTCATTGGCGGTTAGAGCATCCTAGAAGCAGATAAGTTTAACCAAATTTAATAATTTTTGCATCACTGAAGCAATTCTACTATCGTATGATGAATAATTTTCAAATTTCTATCACTTACATGTTTCTTCAGCGAAAGCAATCCATTTTCAATGGAATCTGCTGCCGGTGGCTCAATGAATGGAAACAGTCGAGCGTCTGGCAGACCCATTGATATCATTTGAAGTAGCAACGATTCTAATGGTACCCGATGAATTTCAGCCTGTGAATATTCTTCCAGCTCGTTATATGTTTTTTCAGCATACAAACGATAACAAATGCCTGGGCCTGTTCGGCCAGCTCGACCCATTCGTTGCTTGGCCGATGCTTTTGATATCCAAAACTCCTTCAGTCGTTGCATTTTCGTCTGAAGATCATAGCTCATCTCTTTCATTTTTCCCGAGTCGACCACGAATCGTACACCATCGATGGTAACCGATGTTTCGGCAATATTCGTGGATACAATACATTTTCGGATGCCGTCAGGTGGATAGTCAAACACTTTGTCTTGATCAGCTATTGATAAGCTGCTGTGCAATGGAAGGATGATCCAATTTTTATTTTTCTCTGCATATTCCGTAGCAGCATCGCAAATTGTTGTTATTTCATTCAGGCCACTCATGAAAATGAGCAGATCCCCCTTTTCCGTTTCTGGAATGAAAATCAAGTGCATGAGAAGATGAGAATAAATATAAAAAGAATTTCCAATTTAATTGGAGAGAAAAAAATTAGTTAAAGATGTTGAGTTTCGAACATACTTGGATATTTGCTGTCGATCATCTGCATGATTTGAATATATGGTTCCGGGCTAAGTCGATCAGCCTTACTCTGTCGACCGCCGATATCTTCAATAGGCGGCCTGTAGTGCAATTTTATGGGAAACAAACGACCCGGAACTTCAATCACATGAACCTTCTCTTCAACGAAATAGTCCGCGAATAATTTCACATTGATTGTTGCCGACATCAGCACTAGCTTGAGTTCAGGTCTTGCCTTGAGCAAACACTTTGTGATCCCGAGCAGAAAATCACCGTGTAAATGTCTTTCATGGACTTCGTCCAACACAATTACATCGAATTGCGAGAGTGCTGCCTCCGTAGCTAATTGACGCAACAATAACCCTTCCGTCATGAAAATGATTTTTGTATCTTTGTTTTTACTGCGTTCAAATCGGATTTGGTAGCCAACTTCATTCGTGTCTTCACACAGCATTTCATGAGCCACTCGTTTGGAAAGGGAGATGCAAGCAATTCGCCTCGGTTGAGTGCAGCAAATACTTTCATAGCCAGCGTGTCGTAAATATTGTGGAATTTGCGTTGATTTACCACAGCCTAGAATTTTGAGAAATGGCACAAGAGGAATGTTGAATGTACAAAAATGGAATATTAATGAAGGTTTCAAAAGGTAAATACGGCCTTAATGGCAAATAGGTTGTAAACTTACCTGTGTCCCCAGCCACCAAAACCACTTGTTCTCGTGCAACGGCAGCAATGATCTCTTCTCTATAACGCGCAACTGGCAATTCTGCTTGCATTTTCTGCAGCTTCTTTATTTTCATCAGTTTATCGTGTTGTAGAAAGTCCAAATACTGAAGAATTATTCGTAGGAATTGTTTCACTTTCTTCTCGGATAGTTTGTGTATCCGATCGTATGAAGACAATCGTGCGTAGAGATTATCGAATGGAATTGAAAATTTCAACCTTTCAGCGTTTGCTGGATTAGTTGGCTTTGGCTCACTTGCTGTATCACTATTTTTGTCATCGGGCATATCGTCAATTGGTTCAGGCAAAATGGTTTTTCCCACATTTCGAAGCGTCGTTTCGTATTTGTTGAGAAACATCCAAAAGTCCTCAACGTCGTTCACAAGCTTATCACGCACTGTGTATCCAGTTAAAACCTTTGTCAATTCAGATTTGAAGTCCAAAAATGAAAAATACACCAAATTCGTGACGTCTTTCTCATCATTGTGTCGTTCGGGAGGTGGAGATGAGCTAGTTGAACGATATTCTCGTCGTGTAGAACGATCTCTGTCATGACCGTAGGAGTGCGGTGATTTGTAAGTGCTGCTATGACCATAGTCTCTTGATCTATCCCTGCTTTTCGATCTACTTCGGCTTATGGTTCTTTCTCTGTACCTTTGCCTACTTTCATCTTTGGCTTCAGTATGACGACGGATTTTCTCTCCACTCATAATTTGATATTCATCTCGATGTCTGTTTCTGTCTCTGTTTCGTTCTTGATTTTGATTTCGAAAATCGTCATCGCTCCTCTCTTGCTCCGTTCGTCTATCTCTGCTTCTACTTTTGCTCTTGCTTCGGCGTTCGCGACTTCGTTTTCTCTTCCGATGTCGATCAGGATCTCTATCGTTCTTCTTTTCCTTCGATTTGTGTTTATGTTTCTTATCGCTCATGTTGCCTTTGATTTCAATCACTCATCGTCTTTTCTAACCATTCTGAAAGCACAGAAACAAAACTATTTTTATTAAAGTAAAAACAAACATCAACGTATTTAGCATGGCTTAAATCTAATTTATTGCATAAATACTTCGACGGGCTACATCATTCAGTTGTACCTAACTTTGGTTTAATAAAAAGAGAATCTTAAGTCCATGGCAAAAAATTACTAAATAAAACGGTTCCAATAACAAAATAGCCGAGGAACCAAGCCTTGATGAATTTGGTGCTGTGCGATTTGGGCTGTAGAAATGCTTTGAATGAATTTTGATGATGCTCTTTCTGGAAGTGCTGCGCGCATATCCAGTAAATGTACGGTGATGATGAGGCTAGCATTCGTGTCGACACTTGAATATGAACGAAGAGTAAGCAAAAAATGCTCAGAACAAGTGCATGAATTACGTATACAAATTGACTTGATTTTTCTGCGTTTTCTTTTGTGTGAATCAATCCAAGACGCCTTGCAATTATTGGATTTTCAATTAAAAATCGAACTGCGTGCGATATTATCATGACTAAAATTGGTGCGGCGAGTAGAAAATTGGGAATTTGTTTAAATTCGTAGTATTTCAGAAACCCGACATTCCAATAGTACGCCTGCAGGTAAGAGTATGAAAATGGCACCGCAAATGAGCACCACTGCGGTTTTTGGTGTCCAGCTAAAAGGAAATTATTCTTGTTCCCATAGTTTAGCACCGCTTCGTTCATTTCTAATGGATTGCCTTCACAATAGGGTGAAAAGTAGTACGCTTGAACGATTACAAATGCAATGCCAGCCACAATGGCACAGGATAATACTTTGATAAATCCCTTGAGAAAATGTATCCAATTCGTGGTTCCCTTGGACCAAATATCTCGCGTTACATAATACAAAATGAAGCCGAAATTCAACAAGCCATTGGATCGACAACCAAGTTCATTGGATCGACACCATGAACTCAATGCAAGTGGCAAAATTGCATCTCGAATTTCATTCCGCGCACAATGCAGCATAACGCTGAAGCTTAACCAAGAGAACAAACTCTCCGTGTATGGAGCGCTGAAGAAAATCGACGCTGGATTGATACAGAATAATGTCGCCACGATACGAGCCAAACGATAGTTGTTGAACGTTTCAATGGTAAGTTGATGAAGAACTAGAGCGGCTTTTACAAAGAAAATCACGTTCAGCACAACGGCAACAACGAGGCTTAAGTCACGGAATTCACATTCAATGCCGAGAATCGTGTGGGCAATGTTGGTTATGTATCGCACACAAAACGGGAACAGTGGATAAAAAACGAGCGTATTTTCGTAGGTGTATCCATGTTCAGCAATGTGTAGAAAATACTCAGCATCCCATCGTCTGAAACCGCCGAAAATTGTGTCAATTATTGAATGACAGGTGGATGATCCATTTAATGGCGGTGAGAGTGGAGATACAAACACTTTTGCATTATGATCGGGGAAGAATAAATTCGAAAATGCTTGCAGTATGATTATCAAAACCCGCGAAAGGATCGCTAACCAGATGACCAGCTTACTGTCTGTCATTTCGCCGGAATTTATCTTTATCGCTTTTCAAGTTGATCAACCAGTTACCCACATCTTTTGCAAATAAGTAATATCTAAAAATATATGTCAAACAGATGAATTACAGTGGAAATTCTATTTTTGAAAAGAAATTGCTTTTTTTTTACTTGAATTTGTGTCAGCAAACGTAAACACACTGTTGATGCGGTCTAACAAAGTGTAACTTCTGACATTTCTAAAACCACTTTTGATTTGAGAGGATTAGACGCACTTAGAGAGAGAGCATGTACAAATTTAGTACGGAGCCAATTTTAGTACAGAATAAAAACGTTTTCATTGAAAGCACAAAATTTATTCAAATACATTACAATTCAAAATAACTTTTTTTTTCTGTTTTAGAGCCAAAATAAGTTTAGGATAAAAATTTACACTGGAAAAAAATCTAATTACATATCATCACTCATAGAAATAAATTGATAAATAAAATTGTTGTTTCTAGAAGTTTTTATTAAATTCTTTCTTTTTTTAAAACAAAAATAAAATTCATTCAACCATGGCTGTTTCGATTATTTTATCGGTATGGAACAAAGCGATAATATTTTAAAAACAGATTGTTTTGTATTATTTTTACGGCCATTGACCCTCGTGATATGACATATGAAGGTATTGTATGTATAGTTGGCTCGTTATTGTTATCATATAGAAAACAATCAAAGGATAACATGACTGAACTTCAGTCTCTGAAGTGAAAATTTGAAGCTTGGAGCGAACCACAGAGCATGCTGGATTTATTGAAAATCAAAGTCAATCAAATATTTCATTCAACAAATATTTATGCCAATTGATTCGTTATTCTCAGAGATTTTATTTCAATTCAACATAACTGTCATCACACACTTGATGATGCTCTTTCTCGCCAATTATTATATTGAAACCAATTTCCGTCATATTTTTTTCTTTTGAATTAACCACTAACTGTTCGAAACTACTTTTTTTAAAAAAAATCTGTCTTTAAGGAATATCAATCATCATGATCTAGTTTTTTATACTGTGCAATTTGTGTGCACATAATATTGAGAACTTCTTTGGCGGTCATTTTTTGATTTTCGTTAACCACTTTCAAGATTTGGCCACATTCCAGAATGAAGTACTCCAATTCCTTTTCATCAAGGGGTGTTTTATTTTTTTCAGCCACTGACATGCACTTGTTAGTGAACTGAGTGAGCTGCAAACGATCGGAGCTGAATGCTTCGTCCAGGTCATACAGTTCCAATTGAGGTGGTGGTAATTCACTGAAAACCGGTGGAAAGACCTGCAATAAACAAACCGGTATTAGATTTTATGCTTTGCAAATGAATCTCGATAACAAGTTACCGCTAGTTGAAGTGGTGGTAGTGGTATCTCAAATTGTGGCTTGATTAGTTTCAGCGGTTCGTATTTAATGTTCAGTTGTTCGTAGCATGAAATCACTTCGGGTAGAAGATCATTATTAATTGAATGCAATCTCATATCGAACATATCTTTGAAATCGGCTGGTAGATCACAGTCGATAGACTCGGGCAAGCAGATTTTCGGTTGCTCGGCCATAAAAACGGTGTCCGGTATTAAGGTGTTGTCACTGAGATCAATGTCAGCAAAGTCATATGAGGAGAATTTTTGAGCAGGATCGATAAGAAGCTTGATGAGATATTCCCAGATGGCCATATTCGTCTCTTCGGTTATGTATTTGTCTTCAAACATATACCCGGAACCGATTGCCAAAATTTTTCCATTTTTGTCGTTACAATAATAGCCAGCAATCGGACGATTGAAAGGATAAACAGCCGAGCCGGTTGTCATGAGTATGTTTGCTGGTGACCGAACATTTAGTGTGGCACCATACGGGTAAACAAACTGAATTTTCAACTTTTCATCGGTAAAATCATACGGAATGGTGGTTATATTCTGATCAAGAATCGCACGGCACATTGCGGCACACACAATCCCACCACCGACCATACTCTCTTTCGGATGGAAATACTTGTAATAATGAGCTCGGACAGTAGAATCTAGAATTTCGGAAAATTACATAAGGAGAATGTTGAATGTCCAAAAATGGAATATTCATGAAGGTTTCAAATGGTAAATACGGCCTTAATGGCAAATATGTTGTAAACATACCGTTGTTGATGCTCATTCCATAATCTTCAAGCAAAAAATTCAAATTGGTATTAAACTCATTTTCACCGCCTTCACCGAGCAAAATCATAACGGCACCACCATTTTCAATGTACTCCTAAAAAGATGAATGAGTAATTTGAGAGACTTGGGCTTATTAAACATGACCTAAAATTTTTTTAAGTAAACATACTTTCAAATGTTTGAACTCTTCTTCCGTGAACTTGTCATGTGTCCCAGCCAGTACAAACAGTTTCACTTGATTGAATGTCTCGTTATTAATTTGATTATGGTAACTGTAAAATATGCGTCGTATTCCAATTAGTGATAAATATTTAAAGAAATGGAAAAAAAACCTGCCATAAAATCCGATGAAAAATGATTTCGATTTGGAAAGAAACAAAAAAAAAAATATCTAAATGACTTACACTTCAACACTGTATTGCATTTTCAACTTGCGATGAACGGTTTTGTAGTTTTCGTTCAACTGAAATATCTCATTTTTCGTTACATTGAATTTGATCAAATTATTTTTTTGGTTTTTGTCAATCATTTCGAATATTTTTAGAGACTTTTCCGCAATAAGACTTCTAGACTTTCTCCAAAACCGACGTGTTCAATTATTGTTTTACAAAACAGTATCACCATGGAAACGGTAAGCGGCTAATATTATTGACAGTATTGAGAAACGGTAGGGGACGTTAGTGTCGATATTTTCAGTTGGAATAAAAACAATTCGTTGAAATGTTTGATGGATTTTATTTCATAAAGAAATTTTACAAAAACTCATCTAAAATAGTGGATTTGATTTGATTGGCGTTGAAAAATATTTCTTCTTAAAAAAAGAGAATGGAATATTGTCCAATAAAGGAGATAGAGTAGGTTTCACATATTTTTCGGATAGATATTTTTGGAATGGCCAACCACACACATTCTGGACAGGATTTTTTTTTTGGAAATTTAGTTTCAATATCAATTGAAAGGGTTAAAATATAGTACAATTACATTGACTTAATACTTTGAATTGCATTCAGATTGCAAATCTTTGTGCTAGCTCATGAGAATCGAATATTCAATCTTAGTTCTAATAGCTGTTTGTGGGCATATGCATTATCTCAGCCCAATTATTACAATCACAATATTTTCTTAACCAGATCCCAGCTGCTGTTTGCATCATTCGAACATAAACCTAATTGAACTATAGCACCAACTTTCGGTTGTTCGACAAACAAACACGTCCCGGCTGTCAAATTGTAAATTGGTGTTTGCTTCTGCAAAAAAGAGGGACAATTATTTCGAATGTCATCGTTTAATGAAAGTCAATGGTAATTTACCGTATTACGATGTTTCCATTCTTGGTCGCCTCCCATTTCATGGCATTTGTTGATGACTGGCGGTGAAGAGCTTGACGCACTCGATGCTTCCAAACAGAGAATTTGTCCTAACACCAACGCATGCTTATCGGTTTCATACCTGAAATTAAAGAATTGATTATTACTCTGCACAGAATACATGTAGACTATGGCTTGACCCGATTTTATCGCAGAATTTTCTTCATAAAAATAGATGTTTCTTGAAGTATCCACGAGAAAAATTTGATGGAATACGTACCAAACTTGACTTTTAACTCGTAAGCACGGTGAAATTATGATGTTTGTGTTACGTTTCCAAAAACCATTGTCTTTCTCACCACTAGCCGATAAGCAAAGGCTACTATTCGTCAGGCGGATCATGTAATTATCGGTATAATTACGTTTCCTAAACCAAAGAAAACACGAATTGAAAAAGAAATTAAAATGGAAAACACAACGGAATGAGCCAATTACCGTCACAACATCGATTGATGCCTTACCTCGAATGCCATGGTTGATAAACTGCTTTCTCCAAGTTGTTTGCTTTCTTCATCTCGCCCGGCACCGCAAGTTGCGGGTACACATTTTGTAAGTACCAGGGGCCTGTTGCACAGTACTGTTACAATTTTTGTAAATTGTAATTGTAATTGTAAATACAATTCGTTGTAAAATTGTATTTACAATTCTACAATAATTGTAAAATTGTACACTCAATATTTAAACCAATTTATGTTTCAGATGTATTCAGATGTGTTGTTTTGTTTCATTGACAATTTCAATGAATGACTTCCAGTCTAAAAGACTTTTCAGCATTATAATTCATATTTGGAAAAAATTAAATGGTTCGATTGATAAGATTGATTTTTGTGTTTGTGACAAATCGTTAGTTGTAAGTCCTTAATCTGAGTTTGCCGATGACATGGAAGTTTAGAAGTGGTTGGAAATAAAATAATTTTTAGTCAAAATAAATACAAAACCTATAAATTGTGAATATATTTTTGATATCGATCGCTTTTTCTTTTTGACTGTCACATTCATTATTGAAAAACAATTTTACAATTATTGTAAAATTGTAAATACAATTGTAAATACAA